AGGTTATTTATTTTTATTTAATTTTTCTTATACAAAATTCTTGAACGATATAAACGAAGAACATGTATGCGACCGCAATGATGTAAAAATGTCTTTGACTATAGTATGGAACGCTAAGTCGCGAAACAAATTTAGTTTCACCTTTGTTGACTATGATGTACAGGGAAGAAAACAGGGGCAACGGGCGTACATGTTACGGAGTTCCTAGGTGGTTTTTAAGAACCACAATACCTCCACATCTTAATTTAGTTAAAACATTAGCACAAAAAGGAAGTTGCTTAAATTTAATAAAGGGAAGAAAGCGTTACATAACATTTTGTGAAAAATGTAACTAGTACACCTTGAATGTATTAAATATTTTTATTCATAATTTAATTCTAACGTACAACTACACAAATGGAGACTATTTGTTTTGTATTATAGATCAACTTGATATCTTGACAGATATGATATGGTTATAGATCAACATGATATCTTGACAGATATCATATGGTTATAGATCAACATGATATCTTGACAGATATCATATGTGTTATAGATCAACATGATATCTTGACAGATATCATATGATTATAGATCGACATGATATCTTGACAGACATCATATGTTTATAGATCAACATGATATATTTAGATATCATATGTTTCTTGACGTCGTTAAATTTCGGAAACTAATAAATAAAACTGAAATTTTAAAAACTTGAACAAGATCTGAATTTCTGAAACACAAACTCGAAACTTGTGGCACAGACCACCAGAGCTCTAGTAACTCGCCCATTAGGCAACCGTGGAGCATGAGGACTGTTTAAAATATTTTTATCTCTTTTTGTTATCATATTTTTTTATCGGAGCAAAAGGTTATAAAACGACAATTTTTGTTTAATCGTACTGAAAATAATTAGTTTAAATTATGGCAAAGAAAATAAAAGGTATAAAATCAACTCACCCAGTTTAATCTGATACTTGTCTTCGATGTGGGACATTAACTTCTTCAAAAGTTTCCCATTTTCTTCCTTTGGTTTCCACATCACTGGAACATCAAAATTCTGCGTATTCATGTTGATCTAAATTTCAATAAAAAGAATCTCGTTATAAATCTTTATCAATTTATCATAAGTTTTTATTAAGATTTTTTTCACAATTTAATTTTTTTTTTTACCAGAGAAAAAAAGTGTGGCTCAGTAAATGGAAGATTTGAACACTAGCTAATAATTTTTGTAATAATGCATTATAATCTCGAAGATCGAAAATAAATTGATAATAGTTAAATCTGTTTATTAACTAATTCATTACTGCATGCATTACTTATTAATTAATAAGATAATATTGACAAAAAATTACTGAATTAATTAATTAATTAACTTATTAATAAGAAAAGTACAATAATATGTAATAAATTTCATAAATTTACGATAACATGGCAGGCTTCAAGAAAATTGAACGAATCAAATTTAGACAGTCGTTCTGTACTGAACCAATTCTAAACCAGTGTAGACTACTTGCGTTTGAGATCACGTGATGATGACGCAAAACATCATGACAGTAAATTAACCAGGACGTGATGTCTCAATTGGTGATTGTCTATATTAATACTAATATTAAACAATTCAAGAACTAATTTAACGGTTTCGTTGGCTTGGGAAATCTGAATTCCTCCAACAATATTTGTTTTTACCAAATTTCGTAATATAAGATTTCAACAACATTAAGTAATACTTTAGTCTATTAATTTTTGGGCTTCAAAGTATATTTGTATTCTTTAATTTAAATTTTATTTTAATAGATTTAATATGCATCAAAATAATATAAATATATTGTGCAAAGATTATGTATTAATGAACCATCATTAAATAATACAGTCTCCTATCAAAATGTTTTACAGACCAATAAAATAAATAATTTTGTTTTGCATTTTTTTCAATCCTAGTAATAAATATCGAGAAAAATTCAGTAGTCGTAAAAATTAAGAAAAGAATAAAACACTTATAAGCATACGTGCTTTAAAATACTTGTTTGGTGAAATTTAGAAATACAATCTCTAATATTAAAAAAAAATATGGAGGGTAAGATATAAATATTAATATATTCTTTTTTTAAATAAAAAACTTTTTCATTGCATTGAATATAAATTTTATAAACATATATTTTTAAAAATTAAAATAATTTAGAATATTAAAAAATATTAGATTCGAATTATATTGAATTTTGAATTAATTTTAATACAAACAGAACAATTTTATCTTTAAAATAAAAGTATCTAAAAAGTATTTTCATTCAATTGCATAAAAACTGAGTAACAACTAATTTTTTACCTCTTTAATTAAAAACATCTTTATAAAAAAAAAATGTACTATATGAATATTAGTTTGAGAAATAATCTTGATATAACAATGATTAAATAAAGTTACTAACAATAATTTAGAAAATTAAAAAATTTAGTCATTTTAGATAATAACTAATAATACAATTTAAATAATTATAAAAAGAATAATGTAAAATCAAATAATCTCTTAAACATTTGTAAAAATCATTTACTATTAAAATTATTATTAATTTAATTTTTATATAATAATTGTTTAATATTATTAACTATTTAATAAATAAAAATTTAGTCAATTTAAAAAATAAGTAAAAAAAGCAATTGAAATGATTATAAAAAAGATTAAAATAAAATTAAATAATCACTAAAACCTTTGTAAAAAAAAAAATATTTACTATTAAAAATATTATTAATTTAATTTAATTTAATTTAATAATTGTTTAACATTGTTAATTATTTAATAAATAAAAATATAGTCATTTTTGATAATAACTAAGAAAAGAATTGAAATAATTAAAAAAAGAATAATGTAAAATCAAATAATTACTAAAACATTTGTAAAAAATTAATTTCTATTAAAAATATTATTTAATGCAAAAAAAAAAAAAAAGACAATAAATTTTTCTCATCTTATATATATAAAAGCGAGATACTTTACTTAACATGTTATACAAAAGTAGATTAAATTGCAAAATCTTATATGAATTAAATCAAAATATTTTACTATTTATATCTTAACTTTAGATTTAAATTCTGATTTTATCTCATTACAACTCGACAGTAAACAAAAAGTCTAAGTATTTTAATTTATATTTCGTCGATTTACTTAATTTTACATTCCACGACATTCGAGATTTAAAAAATATTATTATTAATAAAAACAACCATTTTCATAATAAAAACTTAAACAATTGATACAAATAATTCAATTTCATTTTCCTGTCTTTCTCTTATTAAATTTTATGACTTATAAAACAGTTGAAATAAGTTTAATATAGAGAATTACAGAACTGTATCTAATATAGAAGCTTATTAAAGAATTTTAAGATCCATAATTTCCTGCCATAATTTAATAAAAAAAGTGCATTTCGTTTTGATACCATCAAACTGTGATTTCGATTTTGTTATTAAAATAAAATGGAACTCACTTTTTTTTGCTTGTATTCTAGTCCAAATGCGATAAATCTTATCAATTGCATGTCATCCAATGGCAAACACAACTCGCATGAAAGAAAAAATCCATTGATAGCTGTTGTGTTTATCAACACTTAATGATGAAGGAAATTTTTAAAGATAACTTTTCTTATACCCCCTCTGTATAGTTTATTTTTAATATCATAGATAAAAATCTTACGCTATGTTACTCTAAATGTTATCAAACTTGTCGTCTCAATCGATATGCTTCTTCTGATTCAGCGAATATGATTGTTTTTACATAAATATAAAATATTATATGAAAACAGTGATGATATTGTTGTTGTTGTTACCTTTGGACTTATTACAACTCATTTCATAAAAAGTTGGCTACTTACTGTAGAAACAAAATGAACATATTGTAGCATTTTCCCACGGGAAGAATTGTAGCATTTAGTTCCCAGGGGAAGAATGTATATTCTCTAACAAGTATATAATAACAACTTGTCACTGAAATCTGATAGCAGATATTCAGTTTCATGGATAATGAGACCTCATAAAATTAGCATGGTCTGTGCTACCATCACAGGTCGAAACAATTACAGACGGAATATGGACTACACCATGAGTGCTTACATCGTGATTTGTGATAGACCATGGACTGAGAAAGTGTCTATTCAAATGAAAAGGGAAGGAAGCTGATGGATTTTCTTAAAGGGAGGTTTTTGGAGAAGAAATAAGAGAGTTCTGCGACAAGTCGACAAGAAGCGTTGTCTCTTTTTCTCTGAAGTGATTGAACAAGCCGCTTGCTTACAAAATGAGTCCCTTGTGGTTTCATGTATCACGTCGCGTGATAATTAAGATCTGCCGCAGACCTGGTAAAATAGATTCGACTTATTGATCTCCGTTCTTGGAGTGAATTTCAAATTTAATTCTTTATTTTTCATTTTTTGTAAATAGTAAATTGTAATAAATAGAGTTCCGTATATATATATATATATATATATATATATATATATATATATATATATATATATATATATATATATATATATATATATATATATATATAATGCTTGTAATTATAAATTAAAGTATTCCCATGAACCTGAAAAGATCCATCTTCTTGAAGACTTTATAAATCGAATGCAGGCCGAGACTTTACAATATAAACAAATCAACATTACAAAGGAAAATACCAGATATTCTTAGCAAAAAATACCAAAAGACGTTCAAAACAAGTTAAAATGTTCTAAGGATAGAAATTTAAAAAGCTAGAAGTACCTAATAAAAGTCCACGTGATCAGGACATGTTTTCTTTGGCCCACAAGTAAAGATCACACAAATCACCATTCTGTTGTAAGTTAGAGTCCAGTCTTGAGCAAAAAGTAACTGGCTCTTATTCATTTTTCTCTGTTTTACATAAAACACATATATCAGAGTTCATAATTCCTATTTTGGCCAGGTATTCGCCCAGGCTGCTGAAGATGCAGTATGATGCACTATAACCCCGCAGAGAATATGACATTTGTTGCTGTCAGGAGTGGTGGCCATACCATGCTGAATACCATACTTGCTGAATATACCGGTTCTAATTAGATCACCGAAGTCAAGCATCATTGGGCGCAGTCAGTACTTGGGTGGGTGACCACCTGGGAACAAGGTGTGCCGTTGGCATTCAAAAATTTGGGACCTGAATGGCTGAGTGTCTAACGCTCTGGCGCTCGGTGCCACAGGTATCGGGTTCGAATCCCGGTGGTGCCATGGATGTTTGTAGTGGTTCGGAATCCACTTTAAGTCGTAGGTCCCGGTCTCCTATGACTTGTAAGAGCGTCACGGAGCCAAAGTCAGACTTCTACCTATGGGGTGCTCCATCACAACAGAAGCTGCTTCCTTCCCCTTCAATCATGAGTACGTATGGGCTCGTGGGCTTGGCCAACCAAGTGGGATAAGAAACAACAGGAGTGGTGGTCTCCCTAAGGCAATACCTTCCTGCGATTGTTCTAACGAGGATGTCAGCAATCATGCACAGTAGATCTTTCAGAAATATCATGAAAAGAAATTCCACCTTATTGTAGCCACATTAAACGGCTCAACATATTGATGATCCTCTCTTCTAGGTATACTTAAAGGCAGGTCTGACTCAAATCAAGCTCATGGAGTCCGAAAGCGAAGTTCTCGTCTCGCGAAGTTTACACCGCGTATTTAAAATAAATGGGATTTTATATTCATAGTGGCGTTACTAGAGTCAGAATTGCAATTGAATTTTAATAGACATCATCTTCCAGTTTCCTCATCAAGTTTCATTTATATAGAATAAGTTTAATTGACATAATAAGTAAGCATTGACATTTGATTTTCTGCCAATACACATTTAACACTTATATTTTATTTTATAAGCATTTTCAGTGTTAAGTATAATTATTAATAAGTTATTTATATAAGTTATAATTATTATTATTTTTATTATAAGTTATAATTAGTTAATGAATATATTTCTTTCGATACCGTATAAGATGTCAATGAGACAAGACAAATTTTCATCACACAACAAATTTTCTAAATTCACTTGATCCGGCTGAATTTCATCACATCGGTTTTTACTTAAAGTGGGATTTCCGCTAATTTCACTATCTCAATTTCACCATAACTTTGCAATGTCACTAAGTTGTATGTAGAGAAGATGTTGGACAACGTGATTGAAGCAATTATTTTAACGAGAAAGGAGAAGGTGGAAGAGTTTTTATTCTTGATACCTTTCATTTCTGCGGATCTCCCTTTAACTATAAGGAATTGCGATTTCCGTTGAGACGTGCGTTAGCAATCGCGATCACAATTAATAGTGTAGTATATTAATTTATAACAGGTGTAGCATATTAAATATTTCGGAGTAGATTTGAAATGACCATGTTTATCACATTAACAGCTTTAAATTGCTTGTTCAAGGATGAGCTCACCCAAGAATTGTGTTTATTCTTGAACCTGAAGGTGAAAACAAAAAAATGTTGCTTATATTCTGGTCTTAAGTTAAATTCATGTTATAATAAATTTCAAAAATTTTTTGTTTCATAATTTGTATACCATTCAAATATTTACGAATACATTTCAAAATAATTTCAATTTTACACTGCCTTCTTTCATCTGTTGTTCACTATCCTGTCTGTCAAAATATAGGAAAAACAAATACACAACTAAGTCCAAATTCAAGTAAAAAGGTAGTATTAATCTAAATATTATAAGATTGCTGATGATTGTTGAATAAAGATGTCGAGTGCCTGAACGCGAAGCGTTCATCTACTCAATGGTATGTGAAGACAGTAGGAAAGAAAAGTCATGATAAATAGATAATAGTCATCATTGTTGAATAAAGATGTCGAGTGCCTGAACGCGAAGCGTTCATCTACTCAATGGTATGTGAAGGCAGTAGGAAAGAAAAGTCATGATAAATAGATAATAGTAATCGTATGATGAGAGAAAAAAAAGAAGAAAGTAAGAAAAAATGTAAATCATCGGTATGGAAACGTAACAAGAAATTTATGATCAGTAAATATGAGTTGAAGTAAAATATCTAAAAAGCGATAAGTGAGCAGGAAATTATGGTGGTTTGAGGCTTCGATTCCATTTAGAAGTAGAGAAAGGATACTTGTATTTTCCATTCAATTGCGTAAATATAGTTTGTGCCTTGATGAGAGGATTTTCGTGAGTAGCAATGGTATTGAAGAAATTTCTAGAAAGTTTAGTAATATAGTTGTCAATAGAGTCAATTTTTAAATCTTGATGAATTGTAGAGTTGCGGACAAACCAGGGTGCTCCAGTGATGATACGAAGAAGTTTGTTTTGAATAATTTGTACAGATTTCTTGTTAGATTGTGCAGCTAGACCCCAGATTGGGGCAGCATAGGTAAGGATAGGCCTGAGAACTTGTTTGTAGAGAAGAAGTTTGTTTGACAAAGTTAATTTAGAAAATTTATTAATGAGTGGTAGAGTGAGATAAAATTTTTTCCAACATTTTTCTTTGATTTTTGAATATGAGCTCGAAACGTAAGTTTATTGTCTATAATTAAGCCGAGATATTTAATATTAGTCGCCCATTTAATTTCCTGATCAAAAAGGGAGAGATTAATATATGGTTGTCTGGCGTGTCCTTTTCGGAAAATGATAGCTTGAGATTTAGAGACATTAATTGCGATGCGCCATTTAGTTAGCCAATCCTCTAGGATATTCAGAAAATTTTGAAGAGTATTGATGACATAAAGAATAGAAGCACCTTGTGCAAGAGCAGCAGAATCGTCAGCAAATAGGCAAGTGGAAATGTTAGTGCACTAAGGAAAGTCATAGGTAAAAATATTGTAGAGAATAGGACTTAGCATGCTTCCTTGAGGTGTACCAGCACAAATACGACCGATTTTGGAGAATTCATTATGAAGTCGAACTTGAAAGGTTCTATTTTTAAGATAATTTGTAATGATAAGTGTGATCCAAGTTGGAAATTGAAGTTTGATCATTTTGTAGATCAGTCCATTGTGCCACAGTCGATCGAAAGCTTTTTACATCTAGAAAGACACCTCCTGTAAAAAATTTATAGTTATATCCTTCAGTGATGATATTGGTGACATGTAGAAGTTGATGACAAGTTGAGTGATGTTGACGGAATCCAAATTGTTCTGCTGTAATTATGGAATTTTTATCGCAAAAAAAGAAGTAATATGTCTCACTAAGAGTTTTTCGTAAAGTTTTCCTACACAGCTAAGGAGACTGATGGGCCGATAATTTTGTGGAAATTTCTATCTTGGCCAGGTTTAGGAACATGATGATATTTGCTTTTTTTCCAGATAGGAGGGAAGTAGTGATATTTAGTACAGCTGTTGTAGATTTTTGCAAGATGAGTAATGGCATTAAGGGGGAGACACATTAAGGCTTTATTTGGAATGTTGTCAGGTCCAGAAGATTTCCGAATGTTGAGATTCTTGATTAAGTTAACTATGTCAGATGGTGAAAAATATTGTTATGATAATTTTGATGATCAGCTAGAAAAGGAAGTTACTGCATCTTCAACATGCTCAATTTGAGAGTAATCGCAAGGTTCAGTGTTTTCTTGAAAGGAGTTCAAGGTTTTCAGCAAAAAAGAGTTCGCTTTATCAGAAGATGAGAATATAAGACCTGTGGATCCAACCAGTGGAAGAATTTTGGGATATTTTTGGTAAAATGTTTGTTAATTTTGAAGAGAGAATTATCTTCTGGATTTAGGCCTAATGAAAATTCATTCCATCTGTCATTTTTTTAATTTGTGAATCATTTGCTTTATTTCTTTTTTTGAAGCTTGTTGACGGATTGCTTGAACGGAGGAAACCTGGTATCTTGCCATAATTTACGAATTCTGTTTTTTCCACAATTTTAGAGGTGATTTCAGTAGGAAGTTTTGGTGTGGTGTACTGAGTTCTTTAGATTTGCTATCAAGGTTGATAGCAGAAGTAACAGCACAGTTAAATTTATCAATTATTTTGTCAATGTCTTGAAAATTGGAGATGACTGGATTACCAGGAATGCTTTGAGAGAATTTTAGTAAAAATATTCCAATTGGTAGTTGTGATTATGCTATTGAGGAAGGGCGTAAATGAATTATGAGAGACTTCAACTATCACAGGGGTTATGTAGATAATAGTAATCGTATGAGGGATTGCTAATCGGCTATAGCAAGATTATATTAAATTCAACTGTTTTTCCTACAAGCACTTTAATGAAAAATAAAAATTTCAAGCATGAAAAATTTTGAAATTTAAAATTGTCAAATTTAAAAATAAGTGCACAAAAAATGGCACTAACAATAATTTTATCTGGTAAAAACATGGATGTTTATTTTTGAAGTGAAGCGTTGTAAGTACTGTCGCGAGCATGTAATTGTAAGTTCTCGTGGCGGTATGGAATAATAAATTATTATTTTTTAATTGAAATATCCAAATTTGAAAGAAGACGGCGTAATATTTCTTATTTGCACTCATCGTAAAGAAATCTAATATTTTCTTTAATGTAGGCTTCTATTATGTTATTATTAAAGCAATGATGTTAAAATATGGTTTCTAATGTTTTTATTTGGATAAATAATTGAATAACCAATCCAATGAAAGTATTATATGTTGCTAGAAGAATTTTATGAATATTGAAACTTTTAAAGCATTTCTTTGGAATTAATTTGGGCAGTCAAGTTTATAATTTTGTAAGAAACGTTTACGTAATTTATTAATATTATTTTATTTCCATATTTTTTTATATTCCATTTTTTAATTTTTCTTTTACTTAAAGATAATTTTTTGACTTAAGTTAATTTGTACTTCTTCATATTAATTTTTTTTATATTTGAGTTTAATAAGATTATTCACTTTTTCAATATAATATTTACAAAAAAATTTTTTTTTTTTTTTTTGTTACTATAGATGAAAAACTGTTAAACGATTTAATTTTCGAATGATTGGAAGTTGATCATTTTTTTTATTTAAATAAGTAGTAAACGAAATAGTATTGAATTATTTCTTTTGTAGGAAAATTGATGAAACAATTAACATTGCTTTAATAATGAATGCATCTAAAGGTAAAAATTTCGATTTGCTTGCCAGTGAAAGTTCTCTTGCAATGAATGAAAATTTAAGTAATGAAACTAACACTCATAATAAGTGT